ATCATGCATGCATTCACACACACACACACACACACTATATCATTCACTCCGAAAACAATCGCCAACCCTACCTCTCCAACTCTGTCCGATCATCTCCGACTGTCTCGAACTAACTGTCCCACAGCACCGACAGACACCACCACCTACAACGTGCCAACATCAGCAATATCGTCAACACTATGCACTATGTGTCCATCTGAAATACACCACATCACAACTTTGCCTGACCAAACTACACAAAGCACAATTTCTCACGTGCACTCTCTCCATCCACACCAACACGTGAATTATCCGGTCACACGCATTCTATTGGACGAGCAATCGAGGTGAAAATATCTACAGATGAATGTCACAATAATCGGCAAGACATGTGAGTTGGTGATCGGACGGAAACTCGCTGTTCATCTACCGCATCGTCAACAAAGCACAGTATCGAATTGAGAAGCACACTGACTATCGTTGTGAGCAATCACACAATCAGTCGGTTCTATCCTCACCTGTCTTACACACTGGTTCTAGTGTACCGCTTCACATGTGTCCCGGTGTGGCTTTGTGTGTAGTGCACATGTAGTCCCCCAATCCACACACAATCGCCTCATCATTGTGTGTGCATACATGCTTGCAAACATGATTGTGCACATGATCGACCCATTGTGTGTGCGTTTGTATGGCGGAACTCACTCTGTGATGTCTGTATGTGAATGATGGGGTTGTTGTTGGTGATTTCAAAATCGCCTGAGACCGCCAGGAGTCGAACCCGTGTCAACTGCCACGCAAGGCATCCATGATAGCCGTTACACCACGGTCGTGACTATTTCTACACCTCACACTGAATCCGCAACTACAACTACAACTACAACTACAACTGCAACTACAACTACAACTACAACTGCAACTACAACAACAACTACATCAACAAACACCCACTCGCAAACAAATCATGCATGCATTCACACACACACACTCACACACACACACTATATCATTCACTCCGAAAACAATCGCCAACCCTACCTCTCCAACTCTGTCCGATCATCTCCGACTGTCTCGAACTAACTGTCCCACAGCACCGACAGACACCACCACCTACAACGTGCCAACATCAGCAATATCGTCAACACTATGCACTATGTGTCCATCTGAAATACACCACATCACAACTTTGCCTGACCAAACTACACAAAGCACAATTTTTCACGTGCACTCTCTCCATCCACACCAACACGTGAATTATCCGGTCAGACGCAGCCGAGGTGAGCAATCACACAATCAGTCGGTTCTATCCTCACCTGTCTTACACACTGGTTCTAGTGTACCGCTTCACATGTGTCCCGGTGTGGCTTTGTGTGTAGTGCACATGTAGTCCCCCAATCCACACACAATCGCCTCATCATTGTGTGTGCATACATGCTTGCAAACATGATTGTGCACATGATCGACCCATTTTATTATCGTCACTCAATATCCTCTCTGTTCACTCGAGTCAGTGGTCATCCACATATCTGTCTGTTCGTCTCTTGAAATATCGTTTCATTTGTCCGATTTTTAGTTTTCCGCCTAAGTCTAATGCTACCCTTGAACGTTAAATTTTGTGGTTTCCCTATTGGTCGTTTCACTAGTGATCAATATTTGTTTGGCGTGTCATTTTCGTATTGGTCAATATTATCCTTTTCATCTTCCTGTTGGTCAATGTTTTTAGTAATCCTAGCTGTATAAATATGCATTTGTTTGTAAATCATTATTCGAATCTTGCCCCCATAGGCAATTTTTCATCTACGGTTCGTGTTCTGATATATTCGAGATTGAGTAACATTATTGGGGTTGGACTGGGATATCTGAAGCTGGTCAATCGGTAGAAATTGGAGTAGCCACCTCATGATTCACAATAGAATGAATGAAACAATTTGTGTTTGTTTCCATCTGAGATTGTGATGTGACATGTGGTTGTTTCTGAGTGAGTACACGATGTTAGGCTAAGTGTGTAATTTTGTTGTTTTTTTTTGTGTTGATTCATTTGGTTGTTTTATTTATGTAATTTCTTTTATTCTGTTTTTGGCAAGTTTCTTTCTTTGGGTTTTATGATTGTTTTATTGTTTTATCGAAACATTTTTTGTTGTTGTTTTTTGACGTGGATCATCTAATTTTTTATTGTATTGATTTTTTAAAATAATTTTTTATTATCATTTCTTTTCTGTGACTCAATTCTCTCGTTATTTAATCAATTTTGTTTATCGGTTTATACTACTTGCCAATATTAAGTAAACAGTTGTTATCCTCACAAAATGTTTAACGCAAGTTTGTTCGTAGTAAATATATGAATATATTTTTGTGTACTGAAATGATTTACTGTATTTAATAACAATAATTACTCTCTCTTCGCCTCTGTCACAGTTTTCCCCAGTTTCCTGTACCCGTTAAATGTATGTTTAAACACTACGGTTACCATATTTGTTTACTTTTGTTTACTTTTATAGCTTGTTAATTTACTATTGTCCAGTTTAGATACATCAATCAACTCTCATTGAAACTATTATAAATTGTGATTATTTTTCATGTTATTCATGTCGGAAACCTTTTTTTTCTTTCAGATTTACAGGTATGCTTAACACTATAGTTACTTCATGAATTGATGTTAATCACTCATTTATGTTCATTCCTCAATAAATCATCATTCTTTAGACAAGGATTTCTTTGATGAACTTCAATTTCAAGGGTATTACAATGATGTGATTAGACTTTCTATAGATTTAACATATACACATTATGCTGTCAAACAAAATATCGATCATGATATTAGTTCTTTTTGTTTTTGTTCTTTTTGTATGTCAAGTCGTTATTAAATGTTCTTTGATGAATCTTAATATTATCAAATTAATAACATTTTGGCAAATGTTAGTGATTACAATTGGCTGTTTCAAACTTGATTTCCTTATGTAAAAGTAACATGCATAAACATTCATTATATGATGACTCTTAAAACTTCTAAATATATTTACGCTATAAATTTGATCTTAATCTAGTGAACAAGAGTGCCAGTAGGAATAACCAAATGTATTTTATCATAAAATTACAGAATATCTTGCTAAAATCTGAAAACCATACAGTAAATACATCATTTACTAAATGTTAATCAATTGTCTCAAACTTGATTGCTCCTTCGTTTTCACACTAATCAATCTTTGTTCTGGTCCTCTTCTCTTCAGTTTTTCAACCTCGAAGCATTCCATTTTCCATTAGTGATACATATTGTTCATGTCTGTCGACATCAGCAGTACACACCACAATTGCACCGGTAATCTTGAGGGGACAGATGACCCCTGATGGGTTTGATCTCATGTCACTCAGATTCATAATCAGAGACGTGACCACTAAGCTATCCGAGTCACGACACACCTGCTGTATTTCCAGAATAATATTTGCTATCACCTGATTGCTTAGCAGTTTTAGTCTATTAACTTCATAAGGCACTCCAAGTTAATAACATGAATCTTTATTCATGGCGTCGCAGTAGAAACCTCAATCATTCGTAAATAGGACTGATTCTACAGTAACCGGAAACTAAGATACCTCAGTCATTCTTGTCGAAATTTAGCATAAGATATGTGGTGATTTATGAGGTTTATGAAGCCCATAAATACTAACCGGTTAGCTGAACACAAATGAATGAGAAAAGTATTACCACAGTTAATTGTCCGAAAATAACCAATTGGGATGAGATAAATGAGTGAAGGATATAAACTTTGTGTTTAATTTGATTTTTCCTATCAATGCAGATCAACAGTCTTATGGGGAATGGAACTCAGTATTCTTAATATTTTGCATAAATGGTTATTATAACATAAACATTTATTTTAAGCAGAAACGGATAGTTTCTAGCAGTGGAATTCAGAACACTCGTTTCATACTTGACTGATTGTTCTTTTCTACATCAATCATTCTTTATTCATGTTCACGTTCGATCTTCATAACCTACTGCCATCAAGCATTCCATATACAATACTACTTATATCTATTGACATCAGTAGCATATAACACATTAATATTTCCTTTTAATATTTTATAATTATTTATCAATATCACCTTCAGTTACTTAAATGATTCTTCACGTTTTTTGAACTTGTCATATATTCTCTTTGATACAAAATTTTACAAGAAAACTTCATTACGTAATCATGTTCATTACCTTTATTACCGTGTAATATCTGTAACAGTATTATATGATGACTAAGATGATATGATTTACTATTCTTAAGTTATTCTCAACCCATTCGTTTCAATCTCTCACATTCACAATCATCTTTTGGCTTGATCTTGTATAATTGTTATTTTCTATTCTATGATATGATGTAGTCTAAATTGCTTGTATATAAACTCAGTATGTTTGAAATAAGTGATTCATGCAGTGAAAGGTGAGATTGTATTCTAGACTTAATGGGTGCAATTAAAACAGAAGGATTCAGAGTTAACTTTAGACTGGTGGTACTGGTTAACGTATCATTCATTTGGCACAATGCCAAAGTCATATAAGCCGATACTTATAATTGATGATCTTATCATGTAGTTTATTATCAAGACATAAGAACAAAACAGTAATAATATCAGTTGGAGTATGAACGATTTGGTATAGAACGAGGAAGAAATGAGATTTTGAGACTCAAGAATCTAATCTATTCTAAGTCATTGGCTACCATCACAGATTGATTGTAGTAACTTTTATCCTGTTTTACATCCTGTATTTCTTTAATAGAATAAATTTAACTGTATGGCTACAAAATATTTTTACAATATAGCTGATACAAATTCCTAATTAAAATCGTAATTGTAATTAAGAACAACGTAGTTGAAGTCATGAGTCAATTGAAGTTAGGTTACCATGAGAAATCTGGAAGCATTGGACGGCGGTTTCATCCTATTGTGGGACTCTTCATCAGTGCGCATCTACGATCATCCACGTTTCCCATGATGGTCTAGCTCCAATTGACTAATGAATTCAACTATGCAATTACTAAAATCTCCACAAAACCCCCTTCTAACACTAAAAGATTGTTTGGATTTTTTTTACGAATTCTCATAGATGGACAAATTGTATTGTTTTTACAATTTACTGTTGTGTGTGCTACTGATGTCAATAGATATAAGTAGAATTTATCATCAATGGAAAGTTGAATGTCTAGCGGCAGAAGGTTAAGAAGATCAAAGAAAGCAGAACGAGAATAATGGATGATTGGTGTGGAAACGAAGGAACAATGAAGTCTGTGACGATTGATTGACATTTTGCAAATGAAGAATTTACTGTATAACTTACTTACTTACCAACTCCTGTAACTCCTCATTGGAGGAGCATAGGCCAACCACAAGCACTCTTCATCCAACCCTGTCCTGAGCAATCCTTTCTAGCTCCTTCCAGTTGTTATTCATCCTCTTCATATCGGCTTCTGTTTCCCGACGTAATGTGCGCAATGGCCTTCCTCTTTTCCTCTTCCCTTCGGGATTCCAAGTTAGCACATGTCTCATGATGTGGTTTGGTGATTTCCATAATGTATGTCCTATCCATTTTCATCGTATTTTTCTAATTTTTTCTTCAACTGGAAGCTGGTTTGTTCTCTTCCATAGTAGGCTGTTGCTGATGGTATCCGGCCAATGGATGTTGAATGTCTTACGTAGACAGCTATTGATAAATACTTGTACCTTCTTGATGATAGTTTTAGTAGTTTCAGCTTCGCACAGTAGAACTGTCTTGACGTTCGTATTGAAGTTTGTGACTTTGATATTGGTTGAAAATTGTTTCGAATTTCATATGTTCTTCAATTGTAGGAATGCGGCCCTCGCTTTACCAATTTTCGCCTTTACGTTTGCATCTGAACCTCCTTGTTCGTCGATGACGCTTCGCAGGTACGTGAAGGATTCCACATCTTCTAGAGATTCGCCATCAAGTGTGATTGGGTTGGTGTTCTCCGTGCTGTGTTTGAGGATCTTAGTTTTCCCCTTGTGTATGTTGAGGCCTACTGATGCAAAGACTGCTGCTATACTGGCTGTCTTTATCTGCATTTGTTCGCGTGTATGCAATAGGAGGGCTCGGTCATCTGCGAAGTCCAAATCGTCTAAATGGTTCTGAGCTGTCTATTGTATTCCATGTTTTCCCTTACATGTCTAGGTCTTCATAATCCAGTCGACCACCAGAAGAAAGATGAAGGGAGAGAGTAGACAACTTTGTCTGACTTCGGTTCTTACTTGAAATGTATCTGTCAGCTGTCCTCTATGTGAACGCTAATGCTAACCAGAAGAAATAATTCACTATATGGTTCTCAGATTTTACTAAGGCATTATTTAATTTTGTATTTAATGACATTCCATTAGTCTCCAGCTATATGTTCTCGTTCACTTCATGTTGATAAAGTAACCTATAGGAACTATTAATAGTTTTATTAAGTTTAATGAAAACTGTTTATACTTTGTTATTTCTTCTGTCTTATTCTCTATAACTTATTCATTTACGAAATATATATGATGATTAACTAGAAAGTAGGTAGAAGCATGTTACAATTGTTTTCAATCTATCTCTATATGATAATTTTGTTTATTTGTCCTTGGTAACTGTTTACCATTATTATGTCCCGATAAGCATAATGAATGGTAACTTTTGGGATCCATTTATGGACCAATATTAAAGGTATATTTCTATTGTATAATTGTTAAATAACTAAACTATTCATATTCATGTTCCTTTTATTATGAGGTTCATTTTGACCTATGAACTATTATTATACGATCTACCATTCTTGAATTATGCCATGTCTATTAATTACTACCCCCTTCATTCACAGCCACATCTGGCTAAATCTTGTACAAATGTTGTTTCCTATTTTATGGTACGTTGTGGTCTGTTTGATTGGTATACGAACCCCGTATATTGAGATTGATGTTCTGAATTAACTGGCTGGGCTAGCCGGAAAGCAAGACCGATAAGGACTCTAGACTGCTCGTACGGGTTTTATGCATCATTGGTCCAACCGATAATTCACTGCTCTCTAATTGGCGGTATTGTTACGTTATACATTAACAGGACACTCAGACCACAAGTTATAACAACCATCATATGTATTCATGGTTTATTTGTATGTACCTATCTATTTACATGTATTTCATACATTGTTGTATTATCTATCACTGCACTACATCTCTTATCATCTGTCTATGTAAATAAATGTCTCAAATGAATCATTTCGACATATTTTACATTTTATAATCATCATTGTACAATATGGTTAATGATATAGTGAGCCAATCAGAAGTAGCCTAATGAAGTTATTAGATAGCAATCAAAGGTAACTTGATAGATAAATCCATTTCAGTGGATAAGAAATGGATTGATTTCCTAAAAGGGTTGAGTTGTACATATCTGAATAAGTAATTGTATATTTTATTCGGTAATTTAATATGCTTTCGTGTCCACTCTTGTATTCTTGCTTATGATGTCAAATGGGGGAGGATAGGGTAGGCACAACAGTTAGCTTAAGTATAATATATGAAATTAATTTAGTAATTACGCTTCATTATTGTTACCATTCAACTGGAATCAATTTAAGGCTACAAAACGGTTACTTTAGTTATTTTTAAACGATTATTATTATTAATAGTTTTAAATGTACTCAAATTTCATATTTGAAGGGGTTTTGTGTGGATATTATATTAATTTTAAGAGTTGCGATCATGAGTCAATTGAAGCTAGATCACCATGGAAAACCTAAAAGCACTGGACAGTTGTTTCTTCTTACTATGGGACTCTTCGGTAGTACGTATCCACGATCCTGCCTCGTGAGATTCGAACATAGGACCTATCGGTCTCGCGCGTGGACGCTTAACCTCTAGACCACTGAACTGGCCAGCATCCAACGACGTTAGAAACAATTTGTGTTGATCAATAACTGTATTCAATATGAAAAAGTGATTAAGAAGATAGAATCAATGAAATCAGGTCTCCTTAAACTATATCAATTATCTATCAACAATCTATCATGAGAATAATAAAAGCTTCGATTACTAGTCAACAGATATCAACTTATTACTTAATTGATACTTCTTTTCTTATCTTATGTATACTTTAAAAGTTCACGATAATTTATTAAATGACACCGATTCAATAATGAAATGCACCTTCACATCTATACAGTACATATATAAACATCAAATGTAACAATTTGATCAATTCACCCCCCCCCACTTATATCAAGAAAATGAAATGATAATTTTCCCAATTAAAACTGGCGGTAAATCATTTTGTAAATGTATTATTATTATTTTTTTATAGAATAATGATAATCAATGAAAACCAACAAAATCCATGTGTATATTTCTTAGGTGTGAATAATGTCTTAGCAACTAAACACATACACACACACACACGCAAAAAACGAGATGAGTGAAACAATTGAAAAGCATCGTAATATAAAGATACATAAATGAATAGGAAGTCATATTATTTTTTCTTTCTTTTCTATGTTCTCTCCAGCACTACTGAAATAAGTAGTGCCATAAATATTATAGTAATCATTATCATCATCATAATAATAATAACAAGCATCTAAAAAGATTAAATCAATAAAATAGTTCATGAATGTGAAAATAAAAAGAACCGAATCATGATGCCTATCATTTTGTATACTACACAATCAAATATATTAAATAACCTTTCTGATCTTTCCCCCCCCCCACCGCTACCGCTATCATCATCATCATCATCATCATCATCATCACAACTTGTACTACCGAAATGAATATAAGTAATAGATAAAGAAGTAAAGCAAAGAAAAGAAAAGAAAACAATATGATCTCATTATTAATATAATTCAATGAATCAATGTATAGATTAGATTTGTTTATGCATAGTTACAATTTCTTAAAAATAACTCTCCTTGAGATAATTCAAGTGAATTATTATAAAGGATATAATTAGTTGTCATAGGAAATAGGATCATTGATAATGATAAAGAAAATTAGTTTATATTATTAATCAATAAAATATATTATGAACAATAATAATAATAAACTCGGTAAAATATATACGGGAAGATGTATGCATGTAGTATCCATGTATGTATACTTCTATCTATGTAGTATGTATATTGTATGTATATAAACTGAACCATTGACCAAGAGTTATATGGATGTATACATATATATATATATATATATGTCAGTAAGTGGGAGAGATACAAATAGACAAGATAAGTTTTACGGCATGCAATTCCAACAAGCAAACAAACAAACAAATATTCAATAAAATAATCGATCATTGAAAGACGTCAGCATTCAAAGGTTTGATTTAATCATCATCATCATCATCGTCATCATTCAAGCTCATGTAATCATCCATTACATTTGATTAGATTGATGGTTGTGATATACCAGTAGTTAATTTATAAAAAATATCTTCAGCAAGATATTGATTTTTCTCTGGTGATCTTAAATTTAAAAATGTATAACCGCCTAAAAATTCAGCTATCATTCTTACAGATACATCTATTGGTCTTATAATAACTCGACCAGTAAATTCATTGAATTTACCAATAGATTGATAATCCATTTTACTATTACTACTATTACTACTATTATTAATATTATGAGTAGTATTCTTAATGTTCGATTGAATTTTTGTTTGATTCATTAAATTTAATATAAGTTCATTTAATTCCCAATTAATATGCCAACTTTGTATTGATGACATTTTCCAACTTGCTATAATATCACCATTTGTTAAATCACAACGATAAATTCGTTTAGATCCAATACCAATCGATTCTATTTTACGACTTATTGATATAGTTACATAATTATTATGAATAATTGATTGATTTATATTAGATAACCAATTGATTTGACTATTACTATCATTATATAATGCATTATTTTCATTATGAATTAATGTATTCAATGGTACAATGACTTCAATACGTCCAG